ACCTCAAGAGGTCGACGCCTTAAACCGGAAGCAAATAACAATTCAAAATCTGAATCATTTTTTTTACGTTAATTCTATAGTTTGTCGTTCATCAACCGTTTATCTCGCGAGATAAATTTAGCGCCCAGTTTGGTCAAAATTCCGTCCATTGGTAGTGAAACTATAGTGACCTATTCAGGGCGCAGGCTCGAGCGATGATATATGGTAGTCGCATGCTGCCCAAACTACATGTCCCCCTCGAACTCTCTGGACGTACCGACAAGAACCAAAAGAATACAGGGCATTATATTTGGGGAGGGGCTTTCTGCAGGAGTTGTTGGAAAGTTGTCAGCGTTACTAAAAAAAGGTCTTCTTGGCTCCAATCCGGGTTTTCTGTATGGATATACTTTCATAACCTTTACGGTGTTTAGATATGACCGCAAGAGAGCACAGGTTTAAAAAGATGGACCGCATTCCTGAATTGTTGAGCTCCACCTACCCGATGCTGCAGGCTATGAGGCGTCAATCTACCGCCTTCCTCCTTTGGAGCTGGACTTTGTTGTCTGGAGCTATGTAAAATGCATGCCATGGAAGCATTTTATAGACAGTGGGAGCTTGCCTCCACTATCAACCTTGTCTATGAAAAACTATGGAATATGATGTACGTATATAAAAATTCTAAACATTAAGCGTTTTAAAAGCTGAAAAATAATGTTATCTTAATATTTAAAAGTTTAGGTAAACAATAGGAAGCAAGACAGATTATGAAAAATACAAAAGTAAACAAAAGCAAAGATTGAAGTTTCCTAATTTTAGAAAAAGATAATGGGAAAAAAACAAATGAAAATTTAAGTCGAGATTTAAGCCTAAAATACTTAGAGATTAAGAAGTCATTATTTAACAAACAGGGTGGTCCGAAAGTCTTGTCACCACCTAGAAAAACGTAATGAGAACAATAGAAGAACAAGTAATACAGTAATACAAAACACATTTAGTGGATTCAGTTTATTCATTTTCATTGACACTGTCACACATTGAACTATCTGAAATAAAAAAAAAATATATATTATGTAGCTGTGACAAGATTTTTGGACCATCCAGTAAAATAAAATAATTCAGACTGCCTTTTTGACAGTAGTATCAGCTAAACTAATAATGGATAAAAATGAACGAACATAGAAAATGTTAACTTGATAAATATATCTTTAGGTAAAAAAGGCAGAAAGTAAAAATATGACAAAGAAGCTTCAGGTTAGTTATCCAAAAACAAGTACATACTTATACTAATACTAACAGAAAACCAAGGTATTTGTGGAGCAAAGTTAACATCAGTGATAATAAGCAGTACACATGTAACTTCAAATATATATGATAATCATAATATATAAAAAAATGAAATAAAATAAATAATAATTGCATTTTATATTAAATTCTTAAATTATCAGTAAAACATCTGTCATATCGGACATAAATAAAACACTACCGACACCAAGGTTCGAATGTGGCCCTCTGGACTTATGAATATGTTTTCCCCCAGGTGTATAAATAACGGTGTCAGGCTACTGACTGCAGTGAGTATTGAGTGACTATTGAGTGGAACTATCCAGTTGAATTAGTGTGAATTATTGCGCGTCGATGATTTTGATTTTGATTTAGGATTTACCGGACGTTAAGCCGAGCCGCGCTACTAACAAAGTATCCACTGAAATGGTTAATTATCTTTGGTTGACTTTTACTTCTTTGTTTTTATTAAGTATTTATTTGAAGCTGTAATTAAATACTTTTTTTTTATCTTGACATTGAAGTCTTGAGTTATACTTAATTATTAACGGCCACTGTACGTCACAAAACAGTAAAACAGCTCATATAGATACACTTATTTGGATGGTCTCGAAAATATTTTATAAGCATATAGGCAAAATGATGAGAGAAAATTGCAATAGATCCGACATTTCGAGTGAGACCAGATTTACTTCTTTTTGAAAAATCTACATTTAATCCCCATCCAAAAATAGATATTTGAATTCTAATATATTATCAATGATTGAACTGACCAATAATACCTTAGCCACATCTATTGCTCACCTCACAAGCCCACGTGAATGCGCGCACAAATACGTGTACATATATGCGCCTTTGCGAATTTGCATGTGTGTTTTACGCTTCAAAGTCATTCATATATCATTAAACTTAATGTTACACGATTCTACACTGCCAAGAACATTTAATCCATATATCAGCCACGATGTTTATGTCCAATTCAGAACTTTATGTTTATTTTTTGAAGCGATGTTTGGTGCCTCAGCGTATGACAACTTCAGATAAATTTTGTCTATTAGGATTTTTTCCTTTTCCAATTCAATTCTTTGAAGCAAACGTTTCTGTTTCAGTGAGAATTGAAGCACGCATAGAGGCTGGTTTGCGGGGAAATTTCCACGTCTACGCCTACCCTTAGGATATTGTTGATAAATATCTTAGACCACGGTGACATGGGAAAATAGATTGATAGATAGATAGATAGATAGATAGATAGATAGAGATATGTGCACACACACATTGCGATGGAATCATATTCTAAAAAAATAAGCGATGGAATCATATTTTTTTTTAAAAATATATATATATATATATATATATATATATATATATATATATATGTATTGTGTGTGTGTGTGTGTGTGTGAGAGAGAGAGAGAAATGATGACAGTCCAAGGGAGATAAATAAATAATACACTTATATCGATCAACCGATAGACCTGTTGTAAATTAAACTGAGGCAGACAGACAGACGAACAGATATAGAAGTAAATTCATATAGATAGATTGATAGATATAAAGAAAATATAATATATATATATATATATATATGTGCATGTGTGTGTGTGTAGAGAGAGAGAGAAGGAGAAGAATGGATAGAATGAGATTCTTTAATATGTAGATAGGTAGATTGACTGAAAATGATAGATATGTACAGACTGAAATACATATATATATATATATGTGTGTGTATATGTATGTGTGTGAAAATATATATATATATATATATATATATATATATATATATATATATATATATATATATAGATATGAACGGACTAAGATAGATAGATAGATAGATAGATAGATATGAACAGCCTGAGATAAATAGATAGACAGATACGTGCGTAGATACATACCGATGAACGGACTGATAGATAGATAGATAGATAGATAGATAGATAGATAGATAGATAGATAGATAGATAGGGGACTTGGTAATTAGCCACTTAAGATTACTCTTGCGCACGATACTATCACGCCTATGAAATCAGCTTTAAATTCAAAACAAGACCAAAGAGATATTCGAAAATCCATTTAGATGTTTCATCGCATTTTAGGAATTGACTAGAACCGTTATCGTTCAACAATTTGGCAAATATATATACCGTGGAACTAAAAAGTATTTGACACATGATATTTGCAATGCAAATTCTGCTATTGGAACTAAATGGTACTCATTGGTAGTCACTGGTAATCAATGGTATTATTGCTAGTCACTGATACTCTTGGTACTTCAGCTGTATAGAGTTAATAAAATACGAGATTTAAAAAAGGGAAATAAAGAATATATTGACTTGCACATGAATTTTATTAACAAATACAAGAAAAGTAAGATTTTTACATATTTGGGCAAGATGAAATCAGGAAGCAGGATAAAAATTGTATTTTATTAATTTAAAAGTTTCTAACGACCAATCAAAGCTTATAATGCAAAGTAACCGAAATCTCACGGTGTCTGTCTTTATTTTGAATGATGTTTGCGTATTGATTGACTCATTATAGAAATGCAAAAGGGACTCTCCCGAATTTCATGAGGTTGATAAGTGCAGTCTTGAATTATAATTTCATTATAAGTAGATTTTTAGTATATTTTTTAACAAAGCGACAGTCTCACCAGAACGAAGGCGGTGGGGGTGACAGGGTGAGAAATGGGACGGTGTAGATTGAGGAATGGATAAAAAACGATATAAAACTTTTATTCACCCACGACTAATTAAGTTTCGGCTACAGGACCCTTCACGTAGCGAAGATACGAATATCCCTTCGTTTATGTATTAATGTGTCCCAATTTACGAACAATTAAGGCGACACAGTTTACGAAAACCATAATATGGCCTCAGTTTCTGTAATATTGTGTCCCATTTTACGAACAAATAATGTGACTATAAAAAAAACTAATGTCTTAGTTTAAAAAGTAATAATGTACCCTAGGCTAACATATATTTCTTAGTTTACGAACAAATTGCAAGTACTTGTCTAAGTTTATGAGCAAATAATATGTTTGCGAATAGATGTGTCTCAGCTTGAGATTTGTTTTCCTTTTTTAATCGTTTCATCTCAATTAAGATGACAGTGTCACTAAAACGCAGGATGGGGGTGACAGAGTGTGAAAGTGAAAGAGAATGAAAAGACTGAGAAAGGGGAGGGGTGGATTAAGGAAAGGATAATAAACAAACAGAAAAAATGGCGATTGACGTTACATTTAAATGTTTGAAGGTTGTAGTTATCGGGGAAGCAAGAAATCGGAATGGAACTTGCACAGGTGGCAAACAAAAGAAAAGAAGCTGTTAACGTAGAGTTGGTAGTTGAATCTAACTAGGTCAACAGTAAAATGGTGAGACCTAACTGCCAATCTAGTAACAGGTTTCAATTCATGTGGTCAGGGCATCAGGGAAAAATTCCTGTCAGAACAGTTGACATGAAAATATCTGTAGAAAGGACAGGAGAAAAAGCACGTGATGTCGGTTGGAAAGGGACTAAATTTCAGATACCCTTTAAGAACCTATTACATTTACATAAAGTAGTTAGTCTTTAATCGTGATAATCTTTTTTAAAGACGTACATCTTCAATCGTGCGTCATTGATCCAAAATATCTTAAGTAGAAGTCACTTGGATTGAGAGAAAACTGCGCTCAAATTCAAACAAAATATGAAATTCTAATGTTTGTAAACACTAGCTTTCTATCTTCAACTATTTGATCATGTTCCCAACTAATTCAAATTTGATATCTATCTATCTATCTATCTATCTATCTATCTATCTCAGTCCTTTTCATATGTATCTATCTCAGTCTTTTTCATATCTATCTATCTATCTATCTATCTATCTATCTATCTATCTATCTATCTATCTATCTATTCACATGAAATGCCTTTTTCATTCTAATTTAATATACGGAGCACCTTATAACGTTTCTGGTCAGTAGATTGCTTTTCGATTTCATATACTGTATTTGAAGTCAGCGGATGCAGCTGAAGGAACTGAATAACAGGTTTAACAAATTTGAGCAAATAGATCGAAACAGGAAAAGCAAAATGGTCATAAATGGGAAAATGAGAAAAATGCAACCTTCAGTGACACTGCACTTAGTATATGATCCTACAGAAAACCTATTTTTCCCGAAATAATTCCAGAATCCTATATATATATATATATGAAAATTTGTGTGTGTCCATTTAAAACCCTGAAAAATGTATAAATTACTATTTGACTGTGATTGTGAAATTTTTCACGAAACAGTTACAAGAAATAAGTAAGCTTTTCAAAAAATGTTTACAAGTATGTCTTATATCTGGCGGTTTGTTTTTATAGGGTATAATTAATTTGGTGTCTGTCTATATTTCTGAGATGAGGTGTTATGTACATTATTTACATTATTCGGACTATTGTTCTCATCTTTGTCGCCATATTTATTACAACGCTTCGGCCGTCGTACGCTCCGGCCTTCTTCGGCTGGATGGCATGTCGAACTGAACCCTTTTATTTCGCTCGCTGGGTAGACCGTTCTACTTCCACGTGCCATGGATGTCAGTTATCAGTTATCTCCAAGTTCTCCACTGCCTTAACCGGGTACTGAACTCACACATTTTGGGTCCTCTCACTGGATCAAACAAACGCCATTTGTCATCTGTGTATGAATTTCTGAATATTATAAACCTAATGTCTTCCGCAATCATTTTTTTTACCAGCGTTCATATTACAATTTTTGCTGTTATCAAATCATGTTTTTATCAGAGCTCACATAGCAATTTTCGTTGTTATTATCGCTTTTCTCTGGCACTTCCCATATTGTATTCATTTCTATGCTTGGTCGGATCAGAAGATTTTGTTTCCTAGCATATGTGTTGATTCCTTAAGTTTACGAATCACTGTCTACTGTGGGATCATGTTGAAATCATAGACAAAGAATATCATTGGAAAATTCGTAAACTTAAGGAAAGTGGGACTAGAATAGTCTACCCCAGCGAGCGTAATAAAGATTTCAGTTCGACATCCCAACTATCTGAAGAAGGCCGGAGTGTATAACGCCTGAAACGTTGTGATAAATATGGCAACAAAGTTGAGGACTATAGTCCGAATAATGTAAATAGTATAATTAATTTTGCGTATTCAACTTCGGTTTTATAGTTAATTTGCATAGTCAAATTGTTAGTAGGTGTTAATTTATTCGCCCTATAAAGAACGATAACTCAATACAGCTGAATTAAGCCCCTTGTCCACTAGATGGACAGAGACACTTCAGAATTCAAAATGCCGATAAGCTGCCACACACTTGGAACTCAAGGTTTAAATCCAAACAAATCCTTACTGTTCTGAGGCAGTAAATGAATAAAAGTTTTTTTTTATTATGTGTTTAAATACACTTGTCTATTATTTTGATTCATTTTTGGTCATCCCAGTCAACTGGGATATAACCACAAATAAAGAAATAACTTCTCTTAAAATGTCTGCCTCCTTAATACTTATTTCACAAGTTACGATTAAAGTGAAATAAGTTATGTATAATGGAAGGGAGGTTGATATTTTTGTGGATATATTTTGAAGAATCAATACAAATTATAGTCCGGCAGTCAAGAAACTGATCTTTAAAAACAATGAGGTTAATACAAACCAGTGCAAAATATCGATATATATCAAGACTTTCTGAAAAAATTAACATTGTTTGATATCTTCTCATAAAAAAAAAATAGAATCAGCTGGAATGGATAATGTATACAACTTACATCACACACACACACACACACACACACACACACACACACACACACACACACACACACACACACAACTATCTATCTATCTATCTATCTATCTATCTATCTATATATATATATATATATATATATATATATATATATAAGTACGTGTGTGTGTGTGTGTGTGTGTGATGTCTAAGGATTTTATTAATGTGATCGCCTAATTTTTGTTTATGCTTTCTGAGTTGATTCTTTCGAGGAGGGGGGGTAATTTTTTACCATGACTCATATTAATTTATAGGTCGCACTAACATCAAATCATATACTCCCCGAATAGGTTCACGAAATCAGTTATCGTTTGTGGATACCCATATTTAAGTAGATGCTCCGTTTATTTTAAACAGAATATCATATCATCTGTCAATCTGAATATTCGAGAAATGGCTTTGTTTACGTTTCGGATCCGAAACAGAGCAGCTATGAATTTTCAGGAATTTATTCGATCATGATGTTCTTAAAGGCACTACACAAATTTGTTAGATCACGACGCTTTTCGTAGTCGAGTGGTTAAAGCACGTCGAACCCAATGACGGTTTCCCCCGCAAAGGGGGAGAGAGTTTCGGATATTAAATTTATTATAACAAATGCATACGCTGAGTATCTGAAGTATTTTGGTTGAACACTTGGCTTTTGGGTTCCAGGGTGGATTCCTGAATTTCCCTGTGCAAACTGAACGATATTATGATCAAAATTTGCAGAAATCATATAAAAAATTGAAATTAGGCACCTCCATATATAATAAGTTTAATGACAATGCTACAAAAAAACAAAAAAATAGATTAGTGCCAAATGCCTCTGAATATATCTTCCTTCAGCATTCGAATTAATAGAATAATAGATAACGGTTCCCCCCCCCCAAAAAAAAAACAAACAAAAAAAAAAAAACAAACGCGTGACCTGCCATAACATATACAGTTATAAATTTTTGGTTGTGCTAGTTGAAGATAATACTACCATTAAAAAATTTAATTGTAAAAGACGCTTGAATATAATCGAAGCACTTTTTATAAAACACTATAGATCTACACTCAACATTAGGAGTATTTTGAAGGCATTCCAGGAAGGAATAAGTGCTACTTCTATGTAACATAATACAAATAGAAAAATTATGCCAGCAACGTGAAAACAGCTAAATATATAGATATAAAACCAGCCGATAAAACTAAATACATCAGATTCATTCTTTACTACAAAATAATTAAAAGGTAGCAACTTAGAAATAATATATTCCTCACTTCAAATCCCCTAGATAAGACCAATTTTGTGTATGACTATAACTCCACACTTGGAAAATGATTATCTGCATATAAAAACAAGAAACGTCTTACATAGGACCACACTGTCACGGAGAATCTTCTGTCACCTATTGGATCATAGTGGACAACGCATAAATAAGTAGCATAAGGATCGTAGTAACATTAGACAGCTACTTACAAACAAAACTAAAATACTAGCAAAATCAAAGAGTAAAAAAAAAGACCTATGATCCTTGAAGCAAAACTCATCCATCAAAACAACTCTTTATTAAAAAAACAACCGTGAAATTTAAAAACATAAAAAAACACACGTTACTGTTCCTTTTATGTCACAACCCATTTTGCGTATGTCACAACACTTACTAGTTCTACAAAACATACCAACTACCTCTATCTACGCTGATGATGACTCAATAAATGGTCGAAAGAACCTATTTCTTGTACTTTAGTTTTGAAATGAACTTCGATCAATTTCTGACGGAATTTTCTCCGTGTTTGTTATTAAAATTAATCGACATAAAATATCTGTTGTCTTTAATGATATTTACGTCATATATATTATATTATGTATTAAGCATAAAATATTATAAAATTATTTAAAGAAACATATATATATATATATATATATATATATATATATATATATATATATATATATAAACAAACCTAAAAGAACCAGGCAAACCTACCTAGGTTTCACCTAAACGGATCCTCAGGGTAAAGAGCTTTACCCTGACGATCCGCTTAAATGAAACGTAGGTAGGTTTGCCTGGTTCTTTAGGTTTACCCTAGGTTTAAATTACTTAGTGTATTGAGCACATTACGTAGTTGCCTTTACTCATTTTGAGTTTTTTTTTCTTTGGACTCTGACCTTGAACTCTGGCCGATTGTTTTCGCCTTTGTTTCATGTTCTTGGTTCTTTTTTTTTTATTCCTCACTTTTCTTTGGGTACTGGTTTGTTTTACTACAAGCCGAAATATCCAAGGTTTTTCCAAGCGAGTACCACCATATATATATATATATTGTGTATATTTTACCAGCAATTTTTCATTGAAGCATGTTTCATTTAGGAATTTAAAACAACATGCCTGGCCGCGTACACAATTCCGGAAAATCCTTGTTGAAAAAACAACTATACTTAAACATGAAAACATAGAACAAAAGGTAAAAATTCTTGAAGCTATATGCATGAAACAGTTGAAACTTAACCTGAACAAAATAAACTACGAAATCTCCACAAATATTCTTAAATGCCTATAATTGATAACCGAGGTCATTGGTTTATACCAACAGCTTCCCATACTTAATACTTCTCGTTTTAACTCACTTTGTGACGTCACGAGCTGCGGCGCGATTTTTGCTTCCGCGTCTACACTAGTTAGTCGTTGCTTTGAAATTTTTCATGCAACAAAAACCGACTATCATTATTGTTCCGTGTATTGGTTGATATATTGAAATGTAATTATCATTTTTGATAATGACTTATGTAAGCCGAAAGCTTAGATTGGATTTAAACATGTATCAATATGGTGATTTCCTTTCGTCCTTCAATGATAATGTTATTAAGCTTATTAGACAATATGAAATGAACTTACTTCAAATGAATAGACAAAACTTGTCTATATTATTTAATGAAACATACAGCAATATATATATATATATATATATATATATATATATATATATATATATATATAATTTTATCAAGATAGGTGATGATAAACAAAAGCGAAATGTGTAGTTACATGAAATTCAAAATTTTAAAAAGACGCTCCTGTAATTATTAATTGGATATTACTAACATTTTATTTATTTATTTTTTGACTAAGAATGTGTTTTTATTTTCTATGTCGACATTGTGTTAAATTTAAAAGCTTCCGAATAAATTATTTGTTTATTATCATT